CACAAAAAAGTACACCTTGACGACATCTTTTTACTTTAACGTTAAAACTTAATTTTAATAAAAAAAAAAAAAAAAAAAAATGTTTAAATACACCTTTTTAATTATTTTTCTAAATTTCTTCGTTCTTATTACACCATTTTTTTTCTTTATGCTTTTGATTTATTGGCCGTTTTTATTAGTTATATTATTTCTTTATAAGCTTGAAAAGTATTTCAGGTATGTAGGACGTTCAAATTTGTTTATTGTTTTAACATAATTATCAAGCAACCCACAAAACTTTCAAACAATTTATTAAATTTGAACGGCCCCACACACACATATATACATTGTAATAATGATTTCATTGATCAATGAAATTCCGCAAGTCGGGATTTTATATCAATTCGATAAAAATATTTTTAGAGGTAAAGAAAAGTATACTCGACTAAAAAAATAATAAAAATAACAACAACACTAACAACTCATTCATTAAATTACAGCCTCAACAGTTGCAAAATCTAAACCAGGGACACGAAAAGCACGACCAGGACCACGACAACAAGTATTTACAGATGTAAGAGGTGAATTTAAAATAATTGATTTAAGGCCTTGGCTTAGGGGATTTGATACAAAATGCATAATACTAGAACGTGGTAAGTAAAATTGATTAACGGTGAATCATTGAACATACATTAAAATTATTATTATTATTTATTAATATCATTATTTTTAGTCGACACATTTATAGCATCAAGAATTAATGCACCAGTCAATATCTTCCTGGTAGCCGATGAAACTGCTATGTGCAGAATGGCAATCTGGGGAGATGTTGGGAATGAACTTAGGGTGCAAGATGTTGTGGATATTAAAAATGGGTATAGTAACATCAATCAATCGATTTCATCTTTTATTTTTCTAATTCATTAATTAAACTTATTGGATGTATTTACAGTGAAACAAGATTATTCGATAGAAGATTACGATTAATATTAAATAGAAATGGTGGAGAAATTAGGATTATTGAACGGTAAATTATGGTTTTGCTTTTATTAGTCGTGATGGCAGTCATGAGGGGGGGGGGTGTTCAAAATCATTTATTATTTTATCTGTTTATTAGGGATGCTACGTATTACGTTGAATTGGGCCAGCCAAATATAAGCGAAAGAGTTTGGCCAGAATAATCATTATTTTTACATTTTATATTTTTTATACATATTTATTGAATTTAAATTTGCATGATAATTTTTTTTTAAAAAAAAATTTCTTTTTTGTAAGAACATCACCATCTTCACGACAATATCTTTTACATTCTTCTCATAGTAGAGATCCAATCTTGATGAGGTTTAGAAACTGATTGTGAAAAATCAACAATCAGTACATACATACATTGTCCATTTTGAAATATGCATTTTCCTTCCTATCAATAAATGCATAACATAAAGAATCACCGATTTTCTTATCACGAATAATTTCAACTATTAATAGAGCCAAATCAGGAAATTTTCAGATGTTATTTCTAATGTTAATAATACTTGAGCCTGGACTTCTGTTTTTCGCTGTTGTTTTCCTCAATTTATCAAGGTGGAAGCTCTGACTCTGCTTTACCATCATCATCATCATTATTATGATAAAAATTTGGTGTTACTATTGCGCTGTGGGTGCAAGGGTCAAATACTTTGCTTCCAAACATACGGGCCTAAAGGTGAAAATGAAAACTATTAACCAAAAATGGTTACATACAAATTAAAAATATTCTTTTAAAATTATTATTGTTGTCGTTTTTGTTTTTATTGCGTTTAAAATAGTATAATTCCAGCTTAAACTACTGATCAGTAAATAGAATGTCTAAAAATATTTTAATTAAAAAAGCAAACTTTGTTTAGCAAATTTAAGAAGAAAATCCGTTATAAATTATATCAAAAATAAAAAGATAGTGTCGAAAACAGTTACTTTTTTAACTGTGGGAAAATGGTTCTAATCCAGTTTTTTAAGTACCAGGTTTGGAAATCAATCTTCGAACCATTTGTCAACTAATTCATATATATTTGCAAGCTTCATTGATGGTATTGATAAAAAAATCTGTTAATTTGTTCAAAGTATGCTTTCAAGGAGTTTTTTTTCTTTTGTTCGACCTTCTTGTTTGCTCTGCTTCCTGAGAAACATTCAGAGAGCCAGTTGGGCCAATGTGGAAAATATATTAAAACTATTTGCCAAGTATTTTACTGGATTTCCTTTTTACAAATTCATCAGGATCATAATAATACCATCTAAAAAAAAATTTATTTAATTAATATTAATTTTTCTAATTCCGCTTTTTAATTTGATTTTTCAGTTGGTTTTCTTATTTTATATGGCGCATCCTCAGGCTTTCTATCATATGCTATATAATAATTATAGCATTTAGAACATATTGTCTCGCTTATATTTAATTCATAATTCCCTACCAGTTAAGCATTTTCTTTTCCTTGTTCGGAAATATTTCACTATTTTTTCCTATTTTGCAAACCAACCGGTATTTTAGTAATGACTTACCATTGTTTTATTCTAAAAACAATTGAAAGATTATCGATATTATAACAATATAAAGGACTAGCAACATAAGATGAAATAGATTCAATAGTATTAAACCTCTATATCACTGTTGTTTACATTATTTATCCATTCAAAATCCTTTTCACAATCAAAACGTTCACGTTCCTCAATTAATCGCGACTAGTTGCAACTAATTGCGGCATATGAAAATTGAATTGCAGTTCCCATCTTTAATTATTACCATCTGTTTTGAATTCAGGAAAGTAATTCTTTTATTCTTTTCCATTGAAAGAATGGTCAAGGTTGGCTCACCCTTTATTTCACCTTTATTTTTTACAACCACCAAGTGTATTTTTGCTGAGTGAAGTTTTCTTGATATGAAGTCAAGTCTGATTCATAATAATAATCAATATGAAGATTTTGTCACTTCAGCTAATTAAAAAATTAATATTTATTTGTTAGAATTAGAATTAGTTTATGTGTATATATCAAATATAAAATATCTATTTAAATGCTTAATGAGTGGTTTTGCAATTTTCTAAAGAATTATTAACAGTTGATATGCCTCAGTTCAGGAGGATCTAATTAAAGGTTGTGTTATATAAATAATAATAATATATGTACAAATAAGAAATGAAAGTATGAATATGATAATATCACAATAATATATGTTTACAATTACATTGTTGACATTAATGAAGTTGTATGTATGGTTTTCAGGGTCCTGAATCCAAGGGAATTTGCAGGAAATTAATAGTGGTAGGCCCTGTTGAAATAATACTGGGATGACCAAAAGAACTACCATCTACATTTTTTTGTTGCTCATCAACTATATCAACTACACTTGAGCCTGAAATCTTTCCAAGCATTGTTTCAACATATTGAATATCAGGTCTGTTTTTTGGGTCATCCTCCCAACATTCTAAACACAAGTAAATGATTAACAATAATTTAATGCATATAAATATATAGTTTTTAAATATATATATATATTTACCATTGTACAAATTAACATATTCATCAGGTGTATTAGGAATAGGTTCCTCACGAATTCCTTGAGAAATATGAAAATGTAAAGTACGTTGTTGAACTTGATCCAGATTACTAAAAGGTGGTCGGTTACTACTCAATTCCCATAATAAAACACCCACACTGTATACATCTGATTTTTTGTTTGGTTTATATACTTTATTATCGTTAATCTTGAAACATTGTGGGTCAATATAAGGTACTATTCCTGCCACTTGGAATGTTGAAGTGGTTGTAGATTCACGTATTTTACGGGAAAGTCCAAAATCTACCAATTTTATTGTTTTTTGGTGAACCAAGAAGTTCTTTGAGTGCTACTCAAAAAAAAGATAAACATTATTAAATATAATTTTTTTTAAAATAGTAAATTTATATATATAATATGCAAAAAGATAAACATTATTAAATATAATTTTTTTTAAAATAGTAAATTTATGTATATAATATGCAATTATTTAATTACCAAATCCCGATGGATAATATTGTTTTCGTGCAAACATGAAACAGCCGATGCAATCTCAGATGCAAATTTCAGTTTTAGATCCCAACTGATTGATTCAGCCTTTTCTTGTAGGTAGTCCCTTAGTGTTCCACTATCTGCATACTCAAGGACCAATAAATATTCACCTTTGTTTTTATATATAAATATAAATATTAGTTAATGTAAGAAAATCAAAATAAGAAACAATTTAAACATACCTTCATTCTCAGTGACACCATAGAAATGAATAATATTTTGATGGTAGTCAACTTTACGTAATAATTTTAACTAATTGAACCAATTATTATTGTTAGTTGAAAATTTTTTTTTAATCTATAACCAAAAATATATTGAAATTCACCTCATTAGTAACTTCTTTCATATGTGTTATACCATGTTTATAGGATTTCAAGGCAAAAATAATACTATTGTTATATATTGCTTTACAAACTTCTCCAGAACCACCTGAACCAATTTTTTGGGTAATTTTAAAGTCACTATATATATATGAATTAATGTGTTCATTCTCAATTGCCTCCTTGAGCCACCCTGACCAATCATCCTTAGGTTCATCAACAATTACTTTGTTTACATTGGTTATTCCATTGTTTGTTTCTTTGCTACCTTGACTAATTGGAAGAGGTGGCAGAGGAATTCCCTTTTCATCCGATTTCTTTTTTCTTATACATAAAATAAGAATAGCAATCAAAGCAACGGTAAAGATTGCACCAGATACAATTAATCCAATGATTATATTTTTATCACTAAGAGTTGATCGAGGATTGGTTAGAGGGTCAAATGTGTCCATCCATCTATAATTATATTTGTCACTAATATCTAATAGTAAAATATTTTGATAATCACCAATATCAACAATCTTACCTGTTATTATTATTATTAAATATAAATAAAAATAAATAATATATTTTAGATGTGAATTTTAAATTATATTATCGAAAGTTACCAAATGAGATTATCATATAATGTTTATATAAATTCGAATTATGAAATATATGTGCTTTATCAGTTAGATTAACTGGATAATTAGAAATATTTGTTGGAACTGTCCATTGGAAAGGAGATTTTGTTACATCCAGTATTGCTAATTTATCTGTTTCATTAGTACCACCATACACAATTAGCCTTCCATCAGGTGCTAAAAACAAATAAATATGTGTATATATAAATTAAAAAAAAATATAATTATAATTAATAATAAAACTGATTAATTTACTTAATATTGAAGAATATCCAAAACGTGTAGAAGGTATATCACCAGTTGTTGTTATCTAATATAACAAAATATCTATTAATATCTTTTTGGTCAAAAATATTATTACTGATGACTATATAACTTACAATATCAGACCATGAATTTTGATCAATATTATACAAGTATATTGCCTAAACATAATATGTATTATTAGAAAACATAATATTCTCATTCCTTTTATTCTAATCAAATAATAAAAGAGTAAATTATAATATTACTTGAGTTGCATAAAGATCAAGGTAGATTATATTCTCATCATCCAACATATGAAAATTGAAATGATTTGTGTTTTCTATAGATGGTCCACTATTACTTGGTGTTAAGGTTGTAAATATCAACTCTTTGGAATTGAATTTATATATATTTGGATCATTAATAGTGACTATATATGTGTTTCCATTATTATCTTGTGTATACTTTGTTTTCCCAACTTTATTTAACTGCAGCTGTCCATCAGGGGTCATTGGAATCCATGTATCAAACGAATTAGTATTTATTGAATAAACTATAGATCCATAAGCTGTAGAACCAGGTGCTGTTTTTAAACCTCTAAATCCAGCTATAACATAAAGTGTGTCACTATTAACTCCTCCTAATGCTAATGATGCATGACTAAATGGAGATATTGCTGATTTTGGAACAATTGGTTTTATTGGTAATGTTTGATTAAGCGAAAATAATGCGAGTAAATCTAGGTAAATTATTTGGTTTATAATTTTTGATTTGGAACGTCCACCAAAATAATATAGTCTATCATTTAAAACTATTGAACTAACATGATTTATATTCAATAATTGACTAGAAACCAAAGGATTGACTAATAAATTGAAAATTATTATTATTATTAACGATTTTAAATAGTGATG